ATGAGAATTCATTTATTATGTATAAAAGAACCATTGATTTTTTATTTAATATAGAACGCTTCATAATTTGCGTGTCATCCGTGCGCAGGGGCCATGCTAATCTTGTATGTATTGGTGCAATTTTAGTATATGTGCTGCCGAAGCGAGCACGAGCCATTATTTTTTGCTGGTTGATTTAGTATCCTGCTACCTTGACAAATTCATGTATTAAATCTCGTGGTTTTTGTTGGAGTCTTTAGGGTTTTGTGTATACCATCCAGCCAGTGATCACCATCAGAAAGCTCAGCAGGCCAGGTGACACTCCTGTCAGGGGTGCTGGTGATCGCCATGGCAATCAGAGGAAGAGAGAGCCAGGGATGCCAACTAGCGCCCAGTCCCTTGATCTGCGATCTTGAAGGGAGAGGTCGGGCCCCAGGCCCGGCTGCACCTGGGGTACCAGGTGCAGCCGTGCCTGTGGCCTGGATATGCGATCACGAAGGGAGGGGCCAGGCCACAGGCACAGCGGCACCCAGGGCATCCGATGCAGCCGGGACTGCAGCCCCCGATCTACAATGGAGAAGGGAAGGGTGGGGCAGCAGGCATGGCAGCATCCTGGGCACCGGGTGCAGGCCCAGGGTGCAACCGTGCCTGCAGCCCTCTGATCTGCTATCGTGAAGGGAGGGGCGGGGCCACAAGCATGGCGGCACCCAGGGCATCGGGTGCAGCCGTACCTGCAGCCCCCGATCTGCAATGGAGAAGGGAGGGGTGGAGCAGCAGGCATGGCAGCACCCTGAGCACTGGGTGCTGAGGTGCCTGTGGTCCCCTGATCTGAGATCGGGAAGTGAGGAGCGGGTCACAGGCAAGGCTGCCCCTGGGCACAGGGTGTAGGCCCAGGGTGCAGCCGTGCCTGCAGCCCTCTGATCTGCAATGGCAAAGGGAGGGGCGGGGCCACAGACATGGCGGCACCCAGGGGACTGGGTACTGAGGTGCCTGTGGTCCCCTTATCTGAGATCAGGAAGTGAGGGGCGGGGCCACAGGCAGGGGAGATGGGGCTGGTGGGGCAACTGCAGAGGTCAGCCAACACTCATGCCCCCAACTGGCTCTCCCTGGGAGTCCGGAGTGGAGGGCGCTCTCCCTGGGAACCTGGAAATCAGCCTCCCAGGGCAACTGTGCAGAAACCAAGCCTGGCGAGCCATGGAGAGGGCGACCTACCTGGAGGCCACGCAGCTTTTATAGTTGAAGTCACCCTGGATGGAGGATTGGGGGTAGCATGGATCAGAGTCGGCCAAGTCAGACATGGAACCTCGGCCGAATGACTAGAGCACATGGACTTCAATGGTCCTCGGTCACTTGCTGAGCAGCAGTCAGCCTGGACCAGGAATCAAACCCAAAACCTGACAGAATGGAACCCAAACCTTTGCTGTGGCAGAGTAGCTCCTACCTACAGCAGGGGCCAGGGCACACCAGAGGGATTTTGTTGAGGGGCCCTGACAGGCAGCACCCTGAGCAGTGGGTTAGAACCTCCTCCTGATACAGCAAGATTGCAGGTTGGATCCTTGGTCAGGGCACAGACAAGAAGCAACCAAAGAGAGCATAGTAAGTGGAACAACACACTGATGTTTCTCTCGCTCCCTTCCTCTCTCTAAAATAATCAATCAATAAAAATGAAAATAAAAAATAAACTCTCTGGCCCTAACCAGTTTGGCTCAGTGGATAGAGCATCGGCCTGTGGACTGATGGGTCCTGGGTTCAATTCTGGTCAAGGGCATATACCTTTGTTGTGGGCACATCCCCATTAGGGGGTGTGCAGGAGGCAGTTGATCGATGTTTCTCTCTCATCAATGTTTCTCACTCTCCATCCCTCTACCTTCCTCTCTGTAAAAATCAATAAAATACATTTTTAAAAAAATAAAAAATAAACCCTCTGGCTTGCAGAGTTGCTAAAACAGTTAGAAAGCAAAGTCTCATCCCTTCCCGTTCATTCAACAAATACTTCATATGCTCCTTCAATAATCACACTGGGAATGGGTGTTTGTTTGTTTGTTTGTTTTGGTTAATCCTCACCTGAGGACATTTTTGCATTGATTTTTTTTTGTTTATTTATTTATTTTTTTACAGAGAGTAGGAGGGAGGGAGAAAGACAGAAACTGATATGAGAGACATCAAATGGTTGTCTCTTGCTGAATCCCCGACCAGGGCCCTGGATTAAGCCGGCAACCCAGGTATATGTCTTCAATTGGAATCCAACCTGGTACCCTTCAGTCTGCCGGCAGAAGCACTATCCACTGAACAAAACCAGCATTTTTTTTTTCTTTTTAAGTCCTCCTCTAAGGATATGTTCTTTTCATTGATTCTAGAGAGAGAGGAAGGGAGAGGGAAAGAGAAACATTGATCAGTTGCCCAAGCAACCCACAACCTGTGTATGTGCCCTCACCTGGAATCAAACTCATGACCTTTTGATGCGTGGGAGGACACTCTAACTACTGATCCATACCAACCAGGGCCTGGAGCTACAATGCGTTCCCTCAGGGAGGATGCTGCTCATCCAGAAGCCGGGCTCATGGCTGGTGAGTGCAGCGGAGGTGGCAGGAACCTCTGTGGCAGCACTGAGGAGCTGCGAGCCGAGTGGTAGGGAGCAGCAAGCAGGCGGGCAGTAAGGAGCAAGGGATCCCAGACTGTGAGAGGGCACAGGCGGGGCTGAGGGGTTCCCCTCATGTTGATGAAATTTAAAATATAATAACTGATACAATCTTTTTATAATACTAATACCATTAAGGAGAAGATAAAATTATTTTTGGGGGGATATCATTTTCCTTAATTGGAGTTTAGAGTTAGTGTTTCCTATCACCAAAATCAATAGCAAATGCTCATCTATTAATGTGATTTTTTTTTCAGCCAAGAAAGTAAGGATTTATGAAGGAGATGGCACAATGCCTGGAGTCACAGGTAGCTCATGCTCAAACACCTGGCTCAGCTCATGCGGTTTTACGTGAGATGTTATGTATTTTATCTTTGAAAATGTCTGAAGTTTTCTGTCATAGGTGTTGCTAAATACTGATATCAGTCCATGAGCATAGGGTTTTAATTGAGCATATTTGTTGCAAAGCATTTATACAATTCTGTTAAATTATTCTCAATATTTACCTTTTAGCATGTCATTATGTTGCAGATTAATTGCTTCCAAGTGAAGTTTAGGTCCTCGATTGCACATTTAAATGGGTTTTTGAAATATGGACATTTTCTTTTTACCTACATCCAGGTCCGAAAGACGCTGTTGGAACTGTAGTTTGAATACAGAAAATGTATGTACTGCAAATTTGTTAGTAACAGCACAGCAAGTATATAACACAGCTTTAGGTCACTTGTGATTCAAACAATGTTAGCTGTTGGGATGACTTTACTACAGTATAAGTTTGGTGTGTAAGTGCTGTTTGCCTTATAGCTTTAGGTTTAATTCATTGAGAAATATTATCAAGCCCACAGCAAAAGCTAATTTCCAAAGCCATTTAGTTCAATAACAGTGGTTGAGGGCAGTTTTTCTAACCACTTAAAAATTGTACAAACCATTCTTAGATGGAGGACAGTACAAAATTGACAAACAGCCCTAGCTGGTTTGGCTCAGTGGATAGAGCCTCAGCCTGCGGACCAAAGGGTCCTGGTTTCGATTTTGGTCAAGGGCACATACCTCAGTTTCAGGCTCCTCCTGGCCAGGGCCCTGGTCAGGACATACACAAGAGGCAATCAATTGATGTGTTTCTCTCACATGGATATTTCTCTCTCTCTTCCACTCTCTCTAAAAGTCAATGGAAAAATATCCTCGGGTGAGGACTAAATATAATAATAAGTAAATAAATAAACAAAATTGACAAACAGCTGGATTTCTTCTGCATGCCTTAGTTTGGAGAGGATTTTAGTAACTGCCCAAGTCTACAGAACGATGTAGTGGTGGAGTGGGGATTCCGATTTGATAGGGCACCTGCCCTCAGAGCCCATACACTCGGTGACTGTGCTGTGCTGCTGGCAGCTGGTGGCCAAATCCAGAGTGGCCTGCAGGTTTCTTGCTTGTTTGTTTTGTTTGTTTGTTTGCTTTCGTTTTGTTTTTATTTGTTTGTTTTTAGAGAAAGAGAAAGGGAGAGAATGAGAGAGAAAGGGAAACATTGGAGGATTGTCAGGGCATGTGCCCTGACAGAAAATCAAATCCGTGACCTTTTAGTGTATGGGACGATGCTCCAACCAATTGAGCCACACTGGCCAGGGCGACAGATGTTGATTTTTAAAACATACAATAACATGTAAAAACAGTGTACGTAAACTGAAACCAGTACCTGTGTACTTACCACCCAACTTAAAATAGTATTGCCCGACTCTTAAAATGCCTTCTGTTTACCACTTTGATCACCTGTATCCACATCACTTCCTCCCACCTGATGTAATCGCCCCTGACTTCAATGTCTTGCATCCCTTGCTTTATTTTCAATACTACTTTGATTACACGTGTAGCCCTAGTGTATCTTTAAATGTAACATGGAAATGTTTTACTGTTTTAAAACAATGTGTATGGTATAATAGCTGAGTTTAAGAAGTGCAATATTATTCTAGCTGGTTTGGCTCAGGGGATAGAGCGTCAGCCTGCACACTGAAGGGTCCCAGGTTCGATTTTAGTCAAGGACACGTACCAGGGTTGCGGGCTCAATCCCCAGTAGGGGGCATGTAGGAGGCAGCCGATCAATGGATCAATGATTCTCTCTCATCATTGATGTTTCTGTCTCTTTCTACCTCTCCCTTCCTCTATGAAATAATATGAAATTATATATATATATATATATATATATATATATATATATATAGAGAGAGAGAGAGAGAGAGAGAGAGATATTTAAAAAGTGCAATATTAAAACAAAAGTGGAGTCTTTTAAGCCCATTGTGTAAAGACACACTCCTCAGTGACACTCCCTGGCCACGTGGCTAAGTTGGTTGGAGTGTCATCCCAATAAGCTAAGGTTGCAGGTTCAATTTCCCGGTTAGGGCACATATAAGAATTAACCAATGAATGCATAAATAGGTGAAGCAACTAATCAATGTTTCTCTCTCAAATCAGCTAAAAAGAAACTTAATCCTCACCTGAGGATATGTTTATTAATTCTTTTAGAGAGAGAGGAAGAAAGAGAGAG